TAAAATCTATGTAAAATTACGTATACAATATACTGATTAGACGTATAAATTCCGTATGTTTTTGCATACGGAAAAAGTCGATTTTCAGTATCTTGTATACGGAAATATTTACGAATCTATTATACTGTTATCTACATTTTTTATACGTTTTTAAACGTATTATTTCTGTATACTTTTCTTATACTAATTATTTATAGGGTTATATTTATAGCTAAATTTTACTTTAACTATTGTCATAATTTTCTGTTATGAAATACATGAGAGTTCTAATAATAAGTTTATATGTCATGGCTTCAGCTTTTGAGTAAGTGTTTTCATTCACTAAAATATATTTGTACATTGCAAAAAAGAATAGTTAGTATTGGAGAAAGACTATCTCACAGCTATTAAGTAAAATATATAAAAGGCTCATTATCAGAATATAAGATAAAATTTCATTTGTAATTTCAGAAAAATAACCATAAATAAGATATTGTGATATAGCAGTCTTAAGAATATTTGACCAGACTAATAGCTATGATCAGAATAATATTGCCTGTTTTGATATACCTATTAATTATAGGAATAGAAATAACTGTATTAGTAGTATTAATATAAGATTCTACTGAATAAATATCATTTTTCAAAAGGTCTGCAAGTATTACATTTTTCATTAATCTGATATTTCTCTTTTTCTTTAAATGAATATCATAACTATAAACAGTTAATGCTTTGAGTTTTGTCTCATTATTTATAGAATGGAATCCTTAGCATAAATTATGAGATAATGAATATAATGACATAAAATAGGTATCAATACCAATTTTGATCAATAAAGCATCAACTAATACAGGATTTTGGATAATTTGCTTTAATATTGCTAGCTCACTCTCTATTGGATTAAGTAAAACTGTAGCACAGTTGATGTTATAACTGTATTAAATATCTATTTAATGTGAATGCTATGATAATCATCAATATTTAAAACTATCGCATTGTTAGCATTTTTTAAAAGTCTCGATTTCACAGTCAGGTGTTTTTGAGAAATGGCATTTTTATGATAAGAAATTGTACGAGATATTATTGTTAAGCCTATTATCACCAAAGTATCTATTGTTAAATTAGATGTTCTGGAGAATCTAAATACATTCCAAAATCTCTTTTTGCATTATTAACAAATTTATTTCTAATGTCACAAATATAATAACATAAAATACTAATTGCTTTGAAACTTTTTTATTGTCTCTAAAGATAGGCACCATAATTAAAAAAAATGGTGCAATTAAGTTGCAACTTATAGTGCAATTAAATTTTCTTATAGCACAATTAAGTTGCAACTCTATTGAAAATTGAAAATAATTATGGAGACTATCTTTAATCGTCTCCTTTTTTTTTGTTGATGAATTAGTTGAGTTCATTAAAAAACTGTTTCAATCGTTTGTTTTCTGATTCTATAAACATATAAAATTCTTTGAATTTTCAAATCAGTGGTGTTAGTTTATGTTCCCTTTCATAAAGAACTTTTGTAATTATCCTACAGCCTGTGAAAAAGACAAAATATTATTGTTAAAAGTCCGGCTCATTATGGCAACATTGTTCTAGTATATGTTGTTTAAATTCAGAAGATTCGATAATAACAATTGCATTATAACAATTTAAGCATATAACATCATTTTCTTTAACATAATCGGAAGTGTTTTACTAGCTGTTCCACAAGATATCACCATTTCAGTAACTTTTCGCATAACACATGATCCTTCAAGATTCTTTCTTTTACCCATAACTTTATTACTAAGTCAACACCCCTTAAATTAGAGATTATTAGAGATTATTTTTGAAAATAGCGTTTTAATGCTCCGACAAAGCTATATCTAAAAAAAAAAAATTTTTTTTAATATGTGAAACCTTATTTCCGAAAAGTACTTTAAACTATATAAATTCAATTGAAATTGATCGGCCAATCACATGAACTTCCTCCTATGTTACTCGGATTGGATAAAATGCTACATCTCCTCATCTGGGGAACACAGAATCAGGCAGATCAGCCAGTAAATAATATAAACTATTTCTTCTTATGGAAATTATTCATATTTTCAATACATTCTCTGTCCGATAAAAACGCGTATAAGATATGTAAGTACGTTCTAAACGCGTCTGTAAGTTTCTTTTTATCCACTGATAATTTTCAACTTATTTCATTGTCATATCTCGCTTTTCCAATGCTACCAGAAGTTTTACGTAAAGTTAAAAATGCCGAATACTGGGAAAGACCATATGAACAATGGGGGGTAGTATCGTGGGATCGGTTTTTTTTTGATAAGACTACAAATGCTAAAACTATAAAAGCGACAAAGCGTAAGTCTCGTCGAGCTTTGGCTGTCGAATTAGGCATTTTAATAAAGAATATAAACACGGAGTCGAGAGAAAAGAAGAAATTATTAGCACTACAACGTCAATTGAATGTGAGTATTTTACATATTTTAAAAATGTGGGAATATTATATTGAGTGTGCTACGCCCAGTATTCTACGGTTACGGGGAATAATAGCGTCCAGACTGTGAGTTCTGTCTCACCTCTGCGACGTGCACATCTTACTACAAGGTTCTTCCGCTCTTCCTTATTCACACACTATTTACTACTATAGGACGAAAAGAACAAACAGGACAATCAAAGTGCTACGGAAGACGAAGACATTGTGAGTCTGATTTAGAGGAATATACAGAGGGTCTCCAAAAGTTTACGTACACGTCGAATATCTCAAAATCTAGTGATTAAAATTGGACCAAATTTTAATATATTATAATCCTATAATATATAATAATTTGAGCTAATTCGAATCACTATTTGCTGAGATTATAGATTTTTAATAATTTTTTATAATTTATATTATATTCGATTTCTTAACAATCTGTGATTCAAAAGCATCTCATATTTTTATATGTTATAGAATTAGATCCTATTAATAATATATTAAATTTTGGCCCAATTTGAATCATTGAATTTTGAGATATTCAACGGTGACGATCGTGTGCGAAAACTTTAATCAATTTTTATAAAATTGTATATTATTATTATTTCAAATATCTCATCAGACAGTGATTCAAATTAGCTCAACTTCTGATATATTATAAATATATTATTTATTTATAATATATAAAAGTTTTGTTTAATTTTAATTGCTAAATATTGAGAAAATTGACGTTAAAAATATTTGTAAACTAACTATTGCAAACCCTCTGTATTCAATGACCTCGAAGATAATTATGCTGAACTGATTAATGACTTTTCTCTGTAGGCAGAGGGATCGTCTAGGACTGAAAGGGTACTTAGAAAAAGAAAATTTATAGATTATACGGAAACAACAGATACAGATTCGGTCATTGAGGAAACTCCTAAGGTAACTAAATATATGAGTAAAAAGTCCACTCTTTTTCGATTAAAGATAATATTTAAACCACAAAATGTCTATTCTACAGATCAAAGTTACCAAAGTTTCTTCGATATCTGCCTCAAGTGACGATGATGAGACTGAGGAGCAAGAAGAACCAATTGAGCTTGATTTGAAAAATATTAAAAAGCAATTGGAGATGGAACCATTGTATAAGGTACGTAGAAAGTTGAACTTTAGTTCCTTATTCTCTGCCATATTTTGATGTTTTTTATTTGCTTTAGTGGGAGGTTGGCAATATAGACGTAACACAAAAGTTTCGTATGTACCAACGAGATGTCCTTAACAAAATGATTAAAAGTAGATTGACGTGGCACGATTATTATGAGATTTTGTAAGTATTGCGGAGAAAGAATCTGAATTTTTAAGTTACATCTAAGTATCCTGCCTGAATTTATCCTTTTTGATTTATTTAGAGCATTTGCTTCAATAATGGTATTATGTTGGCCGTGCCCATATTCAGAATACTTTACCAATGATGAATGGGACAAAATAACACGAACAAACCCGTATGTTATCAAGTATCCAATCATACCAACATCAACTTCAGCTGTCCTTAGGGAAGTTGCAATAAAACACTCAATGGGCAAAGAAAGTTTTATGCAACCTCCTGATGAGTCATATTTGAGCAAAGCTGCTGCTCTCACATTTAACAATCTGTATGTTGATTTATGTTTTAACTTGTATATAACTCGGAAAAGAATTCTTAAGATTCTATTACTTAATTATTTAACTTTTCGTAGACAAAATCTTCCTCATCAACCTCCGGTCAAATCCGAAGAATTACACTGTGATAAGCTGTTATACCCATACATAAATTCTTTGTTTTTCGGGTGCCTTGCAAATTATGAAGTTCGACTTAATCGTGCTGTATATGGCACACAAAAACGTCCTGACTTCTCTTGTGTCGTCGATGATGTACCTATACTTAACAGTGAGATCAAACCGCTTGGAGTGACACCTCTTCAAAGGAAGAAAGACTTCACGAAAATACATCTAAGAGCAAAGAAGGCAGTAAATCAACAAATAAACCTAAAAGGTGGTCCTGGAGAAGCCGGATTATTAACAAATATGGGTACGTATACAATGAAATTGTTAGCCTTTTTAAAATATTTCTAATTTTGGCACTTTCATATGAATTAGGCGATGAAATTGATTCTTTTTTTATGGATTTAAGATTTGGATTATATTGCTCGTGGCCTTTTCACCAGACTGTATTGGTAACTAAAAAGGCTTTGATGCCGTTAATGGAATCAAACTTTTGCCATTTTGTGGCGTTGGAGGCATGCATTTTTTTCTTATTCCAATTATCATTTTTCAATTTCTGACGGAAACCTATTTTGAGACTTATAGAAAATTTCACATTTACAGGAAAAAGTTAATAAGCTTGCCGAGGATTTCAAAAGACGCAAGGGATCGTTCACGCCACCCGAACAAATAAAATATATGAGCGAATTACCAGATTCTCCACAGCTCAGAAAATTGCTTGGATAACTGTTCCTAAGGATTTTGAAGTACAAATTTTGATCTTAATATTTATTGATCAATGGTTCTTTGATTTAATGATTAATCATATATTAATCACACCAACCGACGTTTAATTTTTCATTCTACAATTAATAATAATTTTATTTAAATGTGACAACTCGAGATTTCGGGATCGTCACACTGCATATCACTACCGTTTAATATTAAATGATAAATATAGCATATTGTATAAATATTATAATATTTACCATTCTACTGTTTAAAAAAAAAAGCTTTTTCTTCAAAGTTTTGAAGATTTGATTGTTTAGAATATGTTTTTAAAATGGTTTAAAAATTATGATCTGCAGCAAAATTAACCAATCACAAGAATCAAAAATACTCAAAAACCGAGTTTGAGGCGATAAACTTTATACACTCATTTGATAATTGAAAAATAATCATTCTTCTTTTTAGTAAAAGCACATATTTATAGCGGACTTTAACCAAGTCTATATATAGTCCATGTCCGATGAAAAACGCGTATAAAGAATGTACGTTCCAGTCGCGTCTGTAAGTTTCGCTTCCTATGTTACCGAAAGTCTTTTGCAAAGTTCGAAACTCCGAATACTGGTAAACAATGGGGTAAATCATTTTTCTTTGATTAGACAACAAATTACAAAAGCGACAAAGAAGATATAGATATCCCATAATCGAATTAGAAAAGAACATAAGGCCGGAAACGAGGGAAGGAAAAAAATTATTGGCATTGCAACGGTTAGTAATTTACACGTGTACTCGCCCTGTCTGAGTACGCTTCTAGTTTTGTCTCTCTGCGACGTGCTCATCTTGCTATCTTATTTATGATAAAATATTATTCGCACACTACTTTTTGATACTGTTATAACAAACTAGAGAGAACAAAAGACACAAGCAAAGTGCTCAGAAGACGAAGAAAATGTAATTAAGGGGAAAAGATTCACTGATTATATGCTGAAATTGATTAATGAATTTTCACTGTAGGTAAGGAAATCAACTATAAGGAATCGAAGAGACGGACATTGATTCGAATTTTGTACCAAAACCTATTATAAGTGTTAAAAAAATGTAAACAGTCCATTCTCTTCGACTAAAGATAATATTTAAATCACCTAATTTCTATTCTAAAACTTTTGTTTGTGAACAGGTCAAGAACAACTGCTTCGTATACAAGTTATGATGATGATGAGACTGGGGAACAAGAAGAAATATTAAAAAGCAGTTGGAGATGGAATCATTGTATAAGGTACGTAGCAAGTTGTTAAATCTTCTCAGCCACATTCTTGATGTTATTTATGTGCTTTAATGGGAGGTTGGCATAAATCTTCAGGTTCTTCCTTACAAGATCTCATATGAATCATGCCACTGTTTATCAAATTCTAACTATTCTGTCTAAATTTATCCTCTTTGGTTTATTTAGAGAGTTTGCTTCAATCATAGTACTATGCTGGCCGTGCCCATATTTGAAATACTTTACCAATCATGAATGGGTCCAAATAACTCGAACAAACCCATATGTCATCAAGTATCCAATTATACCATTATCAACTTCAGCGAAGTTGCAATAAAGCATTTAATGTACAAGGAAAGTTTTATGCAACCACCCGATGAGTCAGACATTAGCAAAGCTGCTGCTTTCACATGTAACGATCTTTATGTTAGTTATGATTTAACCTTGTCCATAACTCGGAAAGGAATCTTAAGCGGGTTATTAATTATCAGAATTTGGCTAAGAGGAGAAAAAAAAGCTAAAGGAGGAATTGAAAACAGAGGGTTAACAACTCAATGAAGCGTTTCTTATAGGCCAAGAGATCCGGATTATGAACGATTACCCAGTTAGAGATAGAATAGTGGCATACTAACTTGAATTTTAAAAAAAAAAATTAATGAAAAAAACGATATTAAATAATCAATAACGATTAAATCTATCATTATACTTAATTTAACAAAAATTTTTTATTCAGTTATAATCTAATAATATATAAAATCACCAAACAAATGTTTTCATCATCATTAATTTATTCTACGATTTGGGCAAAAGAATATACCTTGGATTTAAAGGGAGAAAAAATCATGTTTTTTTCATTCAATGCTTTTGAGTTTCTTAATCCTCAACACACTCAAGTATAATTGACATATAACTTTTCTTTTTACAAAGCCCACGTAACCAATGTTTGCATACTACAGCTTTTCATGAAAATTTGTAGTATGTTGAATTCACATTTCATGCATTTCGTACATGTTCCTCGTAAAATGTTTTGACAAATTTGATCTAAAATGTTACAATGCAAAGATATTTTAAATATTATTATTAATGAAATATATATATAATTATTTTATTACCTGAATCATTAATACTTAAACCTATACTTTTTAATGAGAATCTTTATTATTCGTATGGAAAGAAGAATCAGTGTCATGCATGTTTTAAAGATGAAAAAAAATTTTTTTGAAGATACAATTTCGAAAAATTTACTTAAAATATATATTTAGTGTACTGATTAATGAATATATATTTAATTCTTTTTGAAATCGTCTTAATCCAACATAAGTGACGTAACTATAATGCTCATCTTAAATCGAAATTTGCACCGGATAATTTAAAGAATTTGTTTAGAAAATTAATATTTATTATATTCATAATATTTCTATACACTTTATTAAATACTATAAATTTAAAAAACAACAAGAGCAGAACCGAACAAATAAAACAATAAACTTAAAGCTTAAAGAATTTTATTAAGCCATATTTTCGCCTTTAATTATGCCGGATTGTATCCTATTTGCAATTTCAATTAGCGTCACTTGCATAAGAAGCAGATGTTGATGGTAACTTTAAACACAAAAGTTTTAGAATAGAAATTCGGTGGTTTAAATATTATCATTAATTAAAAAAGAATGGACTGTTTACCTTTTTTTGACTCTCAGTTTTCCACAAAATCCGAATTTTTAGGAATAATAGAGAAAAGACATTAATTAATCAATTTCAACATAATTATCTTTTTCTTAATCAGACTTCACATTTTCTTCGTCTCTGTGGCATTTTATTTGTGTTTATGGTTCTCTCCGGTTTCCTATGTAGTAAGTAATGTGTGAATAAGTGAACAAGATCCTTTGTTATACATAAGGAAGGTACATAGCTGATTCCTCCTCCAGAATCAGCAGACCTTAATCAAAGAAACTTGT